ATGATGATCGTTGTCGGGTTGAGGCTTGAACACAGGTCCTGAGTAGATGTATATAAAGTAAAAAAGAGGTGATTTGGAACCAAGGCACTGGGCACTGGGAGCACTATGCTTCAACCAGGAATGGAACAGGGGACTGGGCACTTGGTATGATGAAGATGATATGAAAGTGTTATGAATATATTGCGATAAAATAAGGGTGGTTATATAACTGTGACTTGTAATATAATGGGACGTGGTAAATATAAGGGTGGTTGAGATGATCTGGTCCACTGGTGGGATGATGAAAGGTACAACTGGCAGGCAGAGGCCTCCTTGTATAGACAAAAGTGAGCGATTTTAGCTCCAGGGTACATGCATTGGACGCATTTTAGCTGGCCTGAAAATACAATGAGGGAATTTAGCTAGTCTATTGCATGCAGGTGAGGGAATTTGGCTGGTGAGAGCACTGCCTTGAGGGATTTTGGCTAGCCTACAAGGTCCCACTACAAAGGAATGCATGTGCACTTACAAAGGAATTCAATATGAAATATGAGCTAGTAAAGGAATTCAGTATGAAACAAAGGAATTCAATATGAAATATGCATCCAGTATTCAGAATGAGATGTGGTCAGAATAATAATAAAGAAAAACTTCAGTGACAGCTTGAGATAAGTGTAACTTCTGAGCTAGTAGAGATAAGAGGGTAGTTGTAGTGAGTGAGTAGGGGTTATTTTACCTGAGGAATCCATTTTTGATGTTAATTTTACCATATCTTTAATGTATAGTGAGATAATAATAAGTTTTTATATATTTTGTGTAAAAACACAGGAATAATTACCACAACATAAACAACATAACATAAATGACCCCATTCTTGATTCTAGTATATCTATCATTCTTCAAACAACATCAACATGAGATGCTAACAGAAGGTTTCATCAACAGCATCTTGGAGATTATGCGAGACCTGTGGTTTGACATAGCAAACAAGCAACAACCTGTTAATAATGTACAATATGATTGGACGGCAAAAACAATTGTGTTATTCAGGATGGAGAGCTCTATGGGGAAAGATATGAACTTGGCATACAGAAACATGAGCATTTATCAGATGGCCTAGAGGTTTACTGAATATTGGATAGATACCCATAGGGGAAAATTGTTTTTTTTCAGATATGAACACATAATGGTTAGAGAATTGATCAACAAAGTACTCTATTTTTCAAATCAGGATTCCCTGAAGCAAAGAATTGAAGCAACAATCCGTGAAGTCACAGCTAGCAGATCATAGTAAATTTGATTGAATAATTTTGGGTGTACACTCAGTCTACTCAAGTACAAGTAGAGCTATTTGTCTTTGCTTTTCATTGTGCCAATAGCTATTGTTTTGAAATTTCCCAAACCCTTAAGTAGGATTTCTTTTCATTTCTTAGCATCCTGGCCATCCCATTACTTCATCTCTAATTGTTCTTCATAATTTTTTGCTTTCAACATTTGAGATTTCTCAAAACTGGTTACAAAATAGGCGGGGTTCACATTGGGTCAGTATCAGTAAACTTTTTAGACCATCAGCAAACCCCAGAGTAAGCAACACCCCCATATGTGAACAGGGCTCACTTTCTAAATCAATGAAGTACAGTCTCCTCCCAGATGTTTATAGCCATCTACTTTGAGCTCCACAGCGGGAACCTAAAAGCTTCAAGTCACAATAGTTGGTGGAATGGTGGAAAATGGGTCTCAAAGAATGAATATGAAAAAAAAATAATGATAAACAAGATTATAAAATTTGTAAAAAAGTGAAAAGGAGAAAATCACAAAAACTGACAGCTCTAATATTTCTTTCAGGAAAAGCTGGAATCTCCAAAGTGATAGTACGAGATCTGGAATGAATAATAAGAAGTGAAAATTTGGAAAAAAAGACTACTTTGTGGTTTAAAAAGGGTGCCATGCTCAAACATTCTTTTGGATCAATATTTTTCATTTATAATCATTCTTTTCATGTTCCAAACTTGCCCTCTGTGTGTTCACTTTTCACTCAAACAAAAAATTAAGGTTTTCAAAAAAAGTTGATTTTCTTTTATCTTTTTCACAAATTTCAAAATCTTGTTTATTATTATTATTATTTTATATTCATTCTTTGAAACCCGTTTACCACAATTCCACAAACTCTTGGGACTTGGGGTTTTTGGGTTCCCGCTGTGGAGCTCAAAGCAGATGGCTATAAACATCTGGTAGGAGACTGCACATACATGTAAATTATGATGCTATAGTGCCAGACCTCCCAAACTACTTTGCAAGGAGTCTGAAAAGGTATGTATTGGCATAAGAGCATTCACTGATTCATTTTAGATTGAAAACAAAGAGAAGGCAAGCCTTTTTGATAATAGAATGGCAAAGTGGTCAATTTTTCATCATTGAATGTTCCTGGAAGAGAGAAAAACCACTTGACCTATTTATCTCCAAGCTGATGTGAACCTTAGGACTCCCAAAATTATGGGACATCCACACAACCAAATTCAATCAGCTGCACTGGCAGGAACATCCATGGAACAAAATTTGTTCTTGGTGTTGTTCCCCAGTGGCAGGACCTCAAGGTTTTACTGCAGTGGCAGTTGTCTAACCATCTTAGACAGAATTCGTTTCTAGCTTTCCTCTCAAGTTGCCAGTAGTGAAACAATCTTGGCTGATTTTTGGCAGGCAGTTGTACCCACTTGACAAGGATTCCTCCTTGGCTAGTGAGTGAAGCCTGCACCGTCTTTCAAAGCAGGGATCCTTGTCAGAATTATCCGGCCTTAGAAAGTGAGGAACTGTCTGAGGAGAGATTTTCCTTGGCCACACTTTCAACAGTACCTCATATCCAGTACTGGATATGGAGTAAAAAAAACTGGATATTCAGTGTATTTTTTTTTAAAAAAAAAATGGTGTGAAGAGGTGAACAAAAAAAAATATAAAAATACTATTGTGTTTGTAAGAAAGCTTGGATCCGATCTCGTTTTGAAATTTTTGTAATCCTGGATAAGTATGCATTTAGCTTTTTTTTTTTGTCTTTTATTCTGCCCAAAACTCTGAGTGTCAGGGAACCTTCACAACAAAGTTCATGCATTCTCATGCATGAACTTTGGTGTCTTGCATCCATCATCTTCTGGACCTAATTCAAATTGTGAAGCCCGATGTGATTACATATTCCCAACCTCACTTCATTCCTTCGTTATCAAGCATTTGGTCACCTGAATTTTTACTCGCCTAAACCTCCCTCCCGATCACGGTTTCTCTACCAATCAACAATAACAATGCCTTATGTTTTCTACCCTCCCGGTGTCAAGGTCATTGCAGTGCGGATGACTTTAGAAGGTAAATCGAGGGACGTTATCCGGAAGGCACTTGGCTTTCAAATATCAAACCAATCCTTCAACCGCTGGCGAGAACTTTACAAGCAAACACGTCGTTTTATACAAAATCCTGAAGAATACGAGCACCTTGGACGTCCAAGGACCCTATCATCCGAGGATTGCACCTTTATGCTCCAATTGGTGCGCAACGAACCTGGCCTTTTTCTGGATGAAATTCGCGAGAAGCTTTACGATGCAACCGGTACTCTACTCAGTGTAGAGTCGGTTCATGAGAATCTTGTCAATAACTTGTCGATAACTTTGAAGAAAGCCGAGACGCTGAATTCTCAAAAGTGCTTACTCAAAAAATATCGCTACGTTGCGCAGATGTCATTCTATCCGGCCAACTATCTGGTGTTTACAGGTGAGCTATGTTTATATGTCTAAGTTGTTTGCTAGATTTGACCACTCATTGTCATTTCACAGATGAGAGTGCCATTTGTGATCGAGCCTTGCTCCGCACTCATGCTCGTTCCCCTTGTGGAACCCCTGCGGCTCGGTACATTGTCCGTCAGAATCCGGAGCGCTTTGGCATCCTTCCTGCCATCTCAATAAACGGGATTATCGCTTTGACCGTTCGGGTGGATACTTACACCGGGATTAAATTTGAACACTTCCTTAAATGGTTGTTGGTGAGCTCTTTTGGTTCTTTTCTAATCATTACTTGTCTTGGAGCTGATCTGATATGGGCTCTATGCCTTGGTATCCATCTGTTTGGGGCGCTCAGCTTCCTCGAATGAACAAGTACCCTGGACCGAATTCAGTTCTTGTTTGCGATAACGCGCGTTACATTGAGGCGATTTGTGACGAGTTTGGTGTGCTCGTCATCTATCTCCCGCCGTATTGCCCGGAGCTCAATCCCATTGAGCTCTGTTTTGCAAATCTCAAGAGTCACCTTCGACGGACCCAGGCCCTCTCAGTTACTACCCAACCCGAATGGCTGATCTGTCGTGCTTGTGTGAAAGTGATGACGGCATGTCTCTGCCGTAAACTCTATCGCCATTGTGGCTATCTTGTACCTTCCCTCAATCGTCCGACTACGCCCCGTCCTTGTTAATAACTGTTGATTCTCATCATTTATTTCTTATGCCTGATCTCCCTTTAGTTTTGTGGCAATGTTATGTTGTGGATGCCCCAAATGAACTTCTATTGATCTGATGAGCATGATCTGGTTGAAAACACGAGGCGCTCATTGAACGAGATGCGCTCTCTATAGTCTGTTGATGTGATCATCACACCTGAGCCACTGGATCCCAAATGGATCTGCTGATGCTGATCCAATTAGTTCTTTGTGCTAAGTACTTGCATCGATCACTTGCTTTCATCCTTGGGTCAGATCACCCACTGCTGCTGAACCGGCCCAGCTTGGTACAAATACCTACCTCCCTCCCAAGTATTTTGGTGTGAGTAGCCAGTCATCGTCATCTTCTGTCAGACCAACCTTCCTCTAACCTCGAACTCCTCGCAGCTCCACTGATTCCAATCTCATTCTCCTGACAACATCATGTTTGGTACAACCTCTAACGTTTCGTCTCGAGTCCTATGTGAAGAGACTCAAGCGCCCGAGAGCTTGCCCTTGCCAACTACGGTCATTTCGAAAACCCCTCAAGTTTCTCTCATCTCCCTGGACTATATCCTATACATAGAACTCAGCAAGCACTTTCAGTTGAGCCGGCGCCAGGGCCTGTCCCCCATCAAATGGGAAAAAATCGTGCCGAGTCCTCGACCTCCTCCGATGGAGGCCAACATTGTGGCGCTAACCTGGCCGCAATTCCAAAACAAAGCCATCATCCATCTGGGCAATCAGTGCGGGTATCTCCGCACTTTCCTGTTCAATAACCATCACGCCGGGAACCTGGTTTGGCTCGGGTACATCAAGGACCATCGCGACTACGGTGTTGATGTCCAAATCGATGGGGTGTTGGCTTTTCTCAACTTCTCTAATGCGGCTTATGACGCGTTCCCGGCCAGGGTGGCGGTCAAAATTACTATGGACAACCCGACTCAAAAATTATATGAAGACGCCATGAGAGCTCATGTAAGATCTATTTCATAGGCCCTTGTTTTTGTCGGGGGAGTGATAATCACACTCCACCCCCCTTCGCACACACACTCCAACACTCCCTTCAGAGAAGGGAGTGTGGGACCGCACGCCAATCAAAATTGGCGTGCAGACCTGCACGCCAGCCCCCTGCGCGGGCATTACCCCAGCAGGTTGGCGTGCGGGTCCGCACGCCAATTTCAATTGGCGTGCGATGCTGCACGCCAACCGTTAAGCGAGGTTGCCTCGCTTGCAGGCAGGCATGCAGCCGGCATTTGCATATTCACGACCTAAACCCATATCA